ACAGCTGGGAATGAATTGGAAGATGGAAATATAAAATGCAAAGTTTTTATACTGTTGGTGGGAATATAAATTAGTTCAAACATTGTGGAAGACACTATGGCAATTTCTCAAGGATTTAGAACCAGAAATGCCATTTGACCCAGCAATTCCATGACTGGGTATATACCCAAAGGAATACAAATCATTGTACTATAAAGACACATGCACATGTATGTTTACTGAGGCACTATTTACAATAGCAAAATCATGGAACCAACCCAAATGCCCACCCATGATAGACTGGATAAAGAAAATGTGGTACATATACACTATGGAATACTGTGCAACCACAAAAAGGAATGAAATCATGTCCTTTGCAGGGACATGGATGGAGCTGGAAGCCATCATCCTCAGCAAACTAACACAGGAACAGAAATCCGAACACCACATGTTCTCACTCAAAAGTGGGTGTTGAACAATTAGAACACATGGACACAGGGAGGGGAGCATCACACACTAGTGCCTGCTGGGGGTCAGGGGGGAGGGTAGGGAACTTAGAGGACAGGTCAATAGGTGCAGAAAACCACCACAGCACATGTATACCTATGAAAGTAACCTGTACTTTCTGCACATGTATCCCAAAACTTAAAGTAAAATTAAAAAACATACAAATGCAAAGTTACTGGCTTCTTCATGCAGACAACTGTTTTGTGGTTTGCTGCTTTGTTAGAGTGTGGATTCTTACCAACTACTGAGTTTATCTTCAAGAAGCAAGTACAAAACATGACATTTATGGATTTCATGCTTGGAACTTTGAATTAATACATTTTTAATTATGCATCTAAATTTAAAAGATAATTTCAAATCAGTGCTTTCTTTGCTTCAATCATTTTATGTCTTAAGTCTAATTACTTCAATATCTGCTAACAGCATCATCTACTTTAGTCATTAGGATTCCTCAAAAAAAAAAAAGATTGTATTTTTCAGTTGGCTATTAAAAAATTAAAATTAGCCCTTTCTTTGAAAAAAAAGAAAACAGTATTTTCGAAATTTTTTCTCACTAATTCAAGTATCAATGGTTCCCTTTTAATGCTAGTAGAATTCTGTCACACGAATGTACCATCATTGGTTTATACCTTTTCCTCTTGGTGTACAGTTTTCTATTTAATTGATTTCTAATGTTATCTTTGCCATTTTCTTTTTAATTTGCTCCTTTTTTTTGAGATGCAGTCTAGCACTTTTGCCTGGGCTGGAGTGCAGTGGTGCGATCTTGGCTCACTGCAACCTGTGCCTCCCAGGTTCAAGCGATTCTCCTGCCTCAGCCTCCCGAGTAGCTGGGACCACAGGTGTGCAATACCACACCTGGCTAACTTTTTTTTGGTAGAGACGGAGTTTCATCATGTTGCCCAGAGTCGTCTCGAACTCCTGAGCTCCGGCAATCTTCACACCTTGGCCTCCAAAGGTGCTAGGATTATAAGCGTGAGCTGCTGCTGCTGGCCTAAGATGCAATATTTTTTATATTTTAATGTCTCTGAATTGGGATGCATCTTAAAAATGTTTATGGCTAAACACATCATGTCTTTAACTGAAAATCTTTTCTTTTTTTCTTGGTGGTACACTGGGATTTATAATTAACAGTATTTTGGATTTGATGAAATACAATAACTTTTAAGAAAGTAGTTTCTGAAAATAATTTTTAACGCTTGATACCTGCCCAAGAAAATATTTATTCTGTTTCATCAGGGTATTTTGGATGTACTGAAGTAGAAAAAAATTTTAGCCCAGCTACTGTGGCTTATGCCTATATTCATAGCATTTTGGAAGGCAAAGGCGGGAGGATTCCTGGAGGCTAGAAGTTCAAGACCAGCCTGGACAACATGACAAGACCCCATCTCTAAAAATAAAGTAAAAAAAAAAAAAGAAAAAGGCAGCATGGGCCTGTGAGGCCTCTGGGTGCCCACGTCCCCCAGCTCCCCCGCAGCCTGCTCTGCAGTGGTCCGCTCTGGTTGCCCCCTGTGAATTCAGGTTCCAGACAGAAGGCTGACTGTTCTCTGCCCTTTGTTGTGGCCCCCACAGGCCCCGGTTACTGCGGCGACCACCAGAGCAGCCTTGGCACTGTGGAGGAGCCCCAGGCTACCCCTCAGCCATACTTGAGGCTGGTTCTGGAGGTGCTACACAGGGTTGTGGCAGCACTGCGCCAAAGTATGGGAGCAGATTCTAATTCTTATGGTTTTCCATGGGAATGGGTGATATGGGCAGCTGTTTTTGGATTTTTTGCTGTTTTCTTTTTTGTGTGGAGAGGTTTTAGATCAGTTAGGAGTTGGCGTTATGTGGGAAGAGAGAAAAAGCTTGCTGAAAACCTGTCTAGACTAATTGAGGAAAAATGTCAACTACTTGAAAAACTGAGCATTATTGAAAAAGAGTATGAAGGCCATGAAGTGGAGTCATCTTTAAAGGATGCCAGCTTTGAGAAGGAGGCAACAGAGGCACAAAGCTTGGAGGCAACCTGTGAAAAGCTGAGCAGGTCCAATGTGGAACTTGAGGAAGAAATACTATGTCTAGTCAGAGAGTTAAAAGGAGAGAAATCGAAACAGTCTGAACAAAATGAACTGATGGCAGATATTTCAAAACAGATACAGTCTCTAGAAGATGAGTCAAAATCCCTCAAATCACAAGTCACTGAAGCCAAAATGACCTTCAAGAGTTTATTTCCAATGAATGCAGAACCACTGATGACAGCAATAAAAGATACTTTGGATAAAAATTCTCAACTTCAGGAAAGCCAGAGACAGCTTTTGCAAGAAGTTGAAGTGTGGAAAGAACAAGTGAGTGAACTTAATAAACAGAAAATAACGTTGGAAGACTCCAAAGTGCACGCAGAACAAGTTCTCAGTGATAAAGACGGTCACATCAAGACTCTGACTGAACACTTGCTGAAGATGAACGATTGGGCGGCTATACTTGGAGAAGACAGAAGACATGAAGATAACTTGGAGTCAGAAATGAACAGTGAATCAGAAAATGTTGCATACTTAGATCGTCCTCCAAATGGAGCTTTGAAGAAACTGATTCATGCAGCTAAGTTCAATGCTTCTTTCAAAAGCTTAGAAGGAGAAAGATCCCAAATTAATATTCAGTTATCTGAAGTTGATAAAATGAAGGAAGAACTTACAGAACGTATTAAAAATCTTGAGACTGAACAAGCATCTTTGCAGTCAGAAAACACACATTTTGAAAGTGAGAATCAGAAGCTTCAACAGAAACTTAATGACTGAATCAAGAAAATGAAACTCTACAGGAAATTAACAACAGAGGAAAATTGCCAGTTAGAGACAGAAGAGAAACTTTCTAAGGTAGACAAAAGGATCAGCCATGCCACCGCAAAGCTGGAGACCTATAGAAAGCGAGCCAACGATCTTGAAGAAGAATTGGAGAGAACGATGCATTATTATCAAAAGCGCATTATTTCCTATGAGAACAAAGCACGTGATAACTGGTTTGCACCTCGAACTGCTGAAAGACATCTCCATGATTTAAGGAAAGAAAATGCTCGCAACAGACAAAAATTAGCTGAACTAGAGTTTAAATTTGAACTTTTAGAAAAAAATCCATATGCACTGGATGTTCCAAATACACTATTTCGCAGAGAGCCTTCCTCATATGGCCCCTCACCATTGGGTCAGCCTTCATCTGAAATGAGAGCTTTTCTGTCTCCTCCAACTTCATTGGAGGGTCCACCCACATTCTCGCTTTTGCTCACAAGGAGAGGAGGAAGAGGCTCAAGAGGCCCAGAGAATCCACTGGACCATCAGATTACCAATGAAAGGGGAGAATCAAGCTCTTATGTGTTAACCGATTCTCACAGGGGTCCTTCTGACACTGGGCCCCTGTCACCTCTGTGGAAAAAGAGAGCTTCTGGAGATGATTTTCCACCAAGGGATTTCCCAGGTCCACCAACATGCTCCATTTGCAAGTATGCTTGTTTTTTTAAAATTTTTTTTTTAAAGCTCAATATGTTTTATTAATCAGAGATGCTAATTTTACTATCTGTTCATGTAGTAACACAGTGGAGGAAACTTCTGAAGTGGGAAGGCAGCCAGCCATAAATGGAATGTAATGAGGTTTCACATTGATTCATCTTAATAATTTAGATTTCTGTATTTTGGTAGTCAAGAAAATCATTGACTTTTTGCAGGTTTTATGAAACTAAAATTATCTGTATCTTATTGGTAGTAACTGGGTATTCTGGCCAGAATTTAAAAAAATTAAAATTTATATTCTAGCATTAAAATTAATGGTTAAGATATTTTTAAGTCTTTTTCATAAATAGTTTTGATGTACTGCTACTTATTTAAAACTTAAAATGCATTTATGTTTGACCTAATTTTTGAATGTATTGAATTATTTTAAAGCTTCACATAACAAAGGGAATAATACATTGCTTTCATATTCATACTTTACGTTCTGCAGGATAACTATGTGGTTATCAAATACTAGGCTTTGCCTATGAATGTCTTATCTAGTCATTCCTTCCCTTGTTTTGCCTCTGTTTTTAAAGTTTAAAGTGAATTAAAATGAATTTTTGGGAGGAAGTTTAAGGTGGTCTTTGATATAACTGGAAATGACTTAGTATAATATCAAATCAGAATTGGGAATCATTGATGTGAGTTTTTTAAGTTTGGTGAAAATTGTATTACATGAAAAATGTTCTTTGAGAAGGACTTTGACAATAAAAAAATATTTTTACAGTAAATTTTATATATTTTGAAATACCCCTTCTCTTTTTAAAAACAGGTGTTAGGACAAAAATTACATTAAAAATTTGTGATATTTCCTTTAAAGGGTATTTGAAGGGGTACACTTTTCTCAATGTTGTAAAAATTAGTTTGTTAGATCAATTATTCTGGTGTCAATTTTCAAATAAAAGAATAGGTAATGGAAGTTATAAACTTAATGATTTATTAGAGCACAGTGCTGGTTCTCAAAGTTATAAAACATCTTTTACCAATCTCTTTGAACAGTGAGAAATGTGTATTCACTGAGGAGTTTTCCTCCTCACCTTCCCCAAGACCTGGATTTTTCCTCCCACCTCCACTCCAGAAGCGAGTCCTTCAGGGCTGATTCCACCTTCAAATGAGCCTGCTACTGAACATCCAGGACCACAGCAAGAAACCTGACATTATTTTTGCTCTCTTCAAAAATAATTCTGACTGATCTCATTTTCAATTTAAAGTAACTGCAGTTACGGTATAACTTATACTTTACTTAGGCTTTCACTAAAATTCAAGCTTAAAGGAATTATAAATCTCAGGCTAGTATTTTGTAAATGAAGATGATTTAAATATGAATCGTATAAGTAAATTATTTTCATTTTATTTTATTCTAGAGAGTATATTTTATGCAGTCAGAAAAGATCATTTAAAAAAAGATGGCATAAATGTTTTAATTTATCTAATTCACTATTATATAAACAATAGTCGGAGTTTTATATATGTAATCTTGCAGCTGCGGAGGCTTTGAATTCTAAAGGCTGTGTCTTTATGCCAAGAACTGTATTTACTGTGGTTTTCGGCAAATATGAAAGTAACTTTATGCTGAATTAAATAAATTTTAGTTGACTTAAAGACTTGTTTGGCATTGATAATAAAAACAGCTAGTTTTTCTAGTAGACAAAACTCATAGCATATGTAATGTGAACCCTAAAGGGAACTGTGAGCTTAATTAATAATAATGTATCAGTATCAGCTCATCAATTATAACAGATACGCCACATTAATGCCAAATGTTAATAATAGGGGAAACTGTGTCTGTGGGTGGGGCAGGAAAAGGGTATATGGGAACTCCATACTTTCTGTTCAATTTTTCTGCAACCCTCAAACTGCTCTAAAAATTCATTGAAGAAATGAGAGGTAAGAAAACTAAATGAAAAAATGCCAAAGAAAAATAGAAGAAAATATAAATTAATACATAATTTAAGAATAAACTTGTAGGAATACATCAAAAAACATGAATCAAGAAGGAAAAGACTAATACACCACTGGAAAAATGAGCAATAGATAATAAAAGACTTTTTTTTTTTTTGAGATGGAGTTTCACTCTTGTTGCCAAGGCTGGAGTGCAGTGGTGCAATCTTGGCTCATGGCAACCTCTGCCTCCTGGGTTCAAGCAATTCTCCTGCCTCAGCCTCCTAAGTAGCTGGGATTATAGGCATGCCCCACCACAACTGGCTAATTTTGAATTTTTAGTAGAGACGGGGTTTCTCCATGTTAGTTAGGCTGGTCTAGAACTCCCTACCTCATGTGATCCACCCAACTTGGCCTCCCAAAGTGCTGGGATTACAGGCTTAAGCTACTGGGCCCAGCCATTAATAGACTTTTTTTTTTTTTTTTTTTTTTTTTTTTTTTTTTAAAGCAGAACAATAAATGTTCAATAAGACTATGAGAAAAATGTTCAGTCACGTTAATACTAAAACTTTTAAAATTATGATTTGATTTTTATCTATGAAATTGGCTAACGGTTTTAAAAGAGATAACAGTAATCACAAGGGGCCAAACAGGCCCTTTCACATATGACCAGTGAGGACTGTAAATTGAGATGACCTTTGGTCAGAAAAATATTTTCCAAAACTTGGAAGGTAAAATATGATTGCATAATTTGTTTTCAAGTTAGGGCATTGCCTAACTAGCCCATCTAAGGTGAATTGAATCCTGACTTGTTGTTATTGATTTGCACATTTTACAACTGTAAATTCAGATGTTAGCTTATAGAAAGTTGGTAAGATAATATTTTTGTTCACTAGAGATATAATTTCTGTCCTGCACAGAGAAAAATGATTTCTACTCTGTAAAGGAGATAGCACCAAAAGTTATGGTTTATCACCCTGTAGGACATTAATCAGATTTATATCTCATTAAGTAATAATTTATAATGATTTTAGTATTTTTCTTATGTATGTATATATATTATGTATATGTATCTTGTATATATACATAATATACATGCTATATGCAATATATACATATACATTATGTGATGTATATATACATTATATATAATATATACATAATACATGTGCATAATATATGTATATATAGATGTATGTACATACACAGATATAGATATCTATGCATAGATATATAGATATATGTACATATATAGATATGCATATACATATATAGATACATGTACATCATATACATATATACTTAGATTTATGTACACAGCATATGTATATATGTATATACTTATATGTATATACATATATAGATATACATAATATACATATAGATAGATATACAGGAAACCTGGGCATACCATTCAGGACATAGGCATAGGCAAGGACTTCATAACTAAAACACTAAAAGCAATGGCAACAAAAGCTAAAATTGACAAGTGAGATCTAATTAAGCTTAAGAGCTTCTGCACAGCAAAAGAAACTATCAGAGTGAGCCAGCAACCAACAGAATGGGGAAAAATTTTTGCAATCTACCCATCTGACAAAGGACTAATAAACTACAAAGAACTGAAACACATTTACAAAAAAAAAAAAACCCCATCAAAAAGTGGGTGAAAACTATGAACAGACACTTTTCAACAGAAGACATTTGTGCAGCCAACAAACATGAAAAAAAAGCTCATCTTCACTGGTCATTAGAGAAATGCAAATCAAAACCACACTGAGATACCATCTCATGCCAGTTAGAATGGCAATAAAAAATCTGAAGACAACAGATGCTAGAGAGGATGGGGAGAAATAGGAATGCTTTTACACTGTTGATGGGAGTGTAAACTAGTTCAACCATTGTGGAAGACAATGTGGGGATTCCTCAAGGATCTAGAACTATAAATACTGTTTGACCCAGCAATCCCATTACTGGGTATAAACCCAAAGGACTATAAATCATTCTGTTATAAAGCCACATGTACACATATGTTCATTGCAGCACTGTTTACAATAGCAAAGACTTGGAACCAACCCAAATGCCCATCAATGATAGACTGGATAAAGAAAATGTGGCACATATACAACATGGAATACTATGCAGCCATAGAAAAGGATGAGTTCTTGTCCTCTGCAGGGACATGGATGAAGCTGGAAACCATCATTCTCAGCAAACTGACACAAGAACAAAAAACCAACACCGCATGTTCTCACTCATAAGTGGGTGTTGAATAATGAGAACACATGGACACACACAGGGAGGGGAACATTACACACTGGGGCATGTTGGAGGGTGGGGAGCTAGGGGAGATATCATTGCAGCAAACCCCACCATGGCACATGTATACCTATGTAACAAGCCTGCACATTCTGCACATGTACCCCAGAACATAAAGTATAATTTAAAAAAATATTAATGGTAAGAAAGTGGTCAAAATATTATATAAAAATATTATCTAAATATTAAGTAATAACTATGTAGGCCCAGATTCCAGTCAGGAAGAATTTCTCTGTCCTTTCTATTTCTTTAACTTACCTTGCAGGTTTTACATTTCTCTGACCTCATTTTCACCAAAAAATAGTAGAAGGAAAAAGAAAAGAGGAAAGAAAACAAGACAAACCCCAAGGCTGGATGTGTCTCAGGTACAAAAAAATAGGAAAACAGGCGGCATTATGGATCCCTAGCAAAGCAGCCAGTATTGAGAATGCCAAGCATGGAGAAAGCAGTTTTGGATAAGGTGTGTCATGCCTGGCCAACAAAACCTCCAGGTGGGGCCAGAAACATTCTTCTGGGCTCCTCAAGGCAGCTAGCTTCACCTGTTTTTGTCTAAGAATAATACACAGCTCACACACAGGAACACTAGGGAACAATTCCCAGCAGCAACCATTCCCAGCTAATTTCCTACACATCTGGATTTGCCTTGAAAGTTAGACAGTGAACATGGAGGCCAGCTCTGCCACTGGACAGGATGGACCCTTTCTTAGCTACAGGTTGTGGAAAGCAGAGACTATGCAGGAGCCCTAAGGGGTAGGGGTTGGGTCTGTATCTTGGACACGAGAGAGGTTTGGATGCTGCCTGGGCCTGCTGCCTATCAGTTGTGGCCTATGTTTATTTATGTTACTTGGAAAACTGACAGAAAGCTGCCCAGGCCCAAAAATGGCAGCTTGTGCAAAATTACCTGAAAGCTTGTGCATCCAAAGTGACCATTAGGGAAGGTACCTTTGGAAGTGGCCTGCATGCAGAAATGCATGCTGCAGCTTGGGGTTGGTGGGGTCAGGTTAATTAGTCTAGAAGGGAATGTTTTCAGCTGAGGCTGGAAATCCAGTTCCAGTCTACCGTCTCCCCTCCTGTCCTCCCACCCTAGGTTTCTGTTTATATTGTTCCCTCTAATAAGAGTATCTCTCTGCTGGGCACGGTGGCTCACGCCTGTAATCCCAGGACTTTGGGAGGCCGAGGCAGGTGAATCACAAGGTCAGGAGATCAAGACCATCCTGGCTAAGATGGTGAAACCGGCCGGGCGCGGTGGCTCAAGCCTGTAATCCCAGCACTTTGGGAGGCCGAGGCGGGTGGATCACGAGGTCAAGAGATCGAGACCATCCTGGTCAACATGGTGAAACCCCGTCTCTACTAAAAATACAAAAAGTTAGCTGGACATGGTGGCGCGTGCCTGTAATCCCAGCTACTCAGGAGGCTGAGGCGGGAGAATTGCCTGAACCCAGGAGGCGGAGGTTGCGGTGAGCCGAGATCGCGCCATTGCACTCCAGCCTGGGTAACAAGAGAGAAACTCGGTCTCATTAAGTTAAAAATGAGAAAAACAAAGATGGTGAAACCCCGTCTCTACTAAAAATACAAAAATTAGCCAGGGGTGGTGGTATGTGCCTGTAGTCCCAGCTACTCAGGAGGCTGAGGCAGGAGAATTGCTAGACCCCGGGAGCTGGAGTTTGTAGTGAGCTGGAGTTTGCAGTGAGCCAAGGTCACGCCATTGCACTCCAACCTGGGCAACAAAGCGAGACTCCGTCTCAAAAAAAAAAAGAGAATGTTTCTTCTTCCATGTTGCCTACATAGCAATTTCATCCTTTCCCTTACCTGGCCATCTTATTCTGAGGGTGGAGAACTGGGGGCCCTCCTCCTGCAGTATCCTGTCTGAAGAGCTCCTTTGTTGAGCCTGCAAAATGGCTTATGAACCATGATACTTCATGTACAAATCCAGTTTCTTGTTACAAACTGAAAGATCTGGCAGTATTGGCTCCCCACGGTTGCATGGCAATAATTAGCTGGATCTAGTAGCAGCTGACCCTGTTAGATGTGAGGTAA